GATGATGCTGATGCTGATGCTGATGCTGATGTTGATGTTGTTGTTGATGATAATGTTGTTGATGATGATGATGATGATCATGATGAAGATGAAGATGATGATGAAGATGATGCATATGATGATGCAGATGATGATGCAGATGATGATGCAGATGGTGGTGATGATGATGATGCTGATGATGCTGATGATCGTTGGGGTATCGTGGGAGGGTTCTCGGGGGCCTCTTGGAGGCAGTTTTGAGGCCTCTTGGCTGACTGCCGCAAGGACATGTTACAATCCTCGAGAGCCGCCATGATCATTCTAGGAGCCTTCTGCCTTGAACCCTGTAGACTTTCGACATTGTTTTGGCCCCTTCTAAAAAGGGCCCTCAAGAGCACCCGAGCATTCCCTTGCGTGGCATCCTCAGTGACTGTTGCTCGTCGCGCGCTTGCGGCGACGCTGCCTTGCCCAGAAAACAGTGCGTCACCGAGGAATCCATCGCGTTCCACACTTTGACATTGTCCGTGGGAATTGGCCAAGGGAGGAGTATCATGCGGCGCGGGGTTGGCAAATTGATTCTTATTGCTTGGTGTTTCAACATAATCTCGTGGGGGGGATTTTGCAAATTGGGTGCTGTTGTGCAGGAGGCAATCTGAATCCCGTTGTACAGACTTTCGAATTGATTCCAATAGCGCAGGATACATTTGCAGTTGTGTTGTATAGAATTACGGACCGATTCCAATTGATTGTGCGGCTATCCGATGGAACCCCCTTTGTGGGGTACTACGAACTGGTTCCCATTGCGCGGGCAACAAATGAGATCCTTTTGGACATATTCACACGTGGATTCCTATTGCGCGGCTTTCAAATGGAAACACTTTGCGCTCGGCCCGGGGGGAGGGGGGTCCTAGCCGACGAGAAAGACAAACAGAAAAACAAAACAAAAACAATCTGGGTGACAAAAAACGCTGTGATTGTGTATGTAAACTTGTTGTTCATTGCCAACCAAAAAACACCAAAATGACAATCAGGAAGCACTGCGAACCTGTATTTCCTAGCGTCCGGGCATTTGCAAATTGATTCCTATTGCGCGGCCTTCAAACAACATCCTTTTTGCGCCCGGCTCGGTGGGAGATGGGGGGCCTGGCCGACGAAAAAAGCAAACAAACAACAACAACAGACATAAGAGACAATCTGGGGGAGCAAGCAACGCCGTGTTTTTATCTGCACATGGCAAACCAAGAAAACACCAAAAAGACACTCAGGCTTGGGTCCCGTAGGTGTTGCAGGCGCTGGTTGCGGCGGTGCTGAGGCAGGTGCAGGGACATGTGCATGTAGTAGTAGGTCAGACGCAGGGACGGGCCCATGCAGGTAGGCGTCGATGCCTTCCATGGCGGCGATTGTTGGAGGCGCCAAGTGGGGGGCTGCCCGTGGCGGCTCCATATGTCGCTTGCGGTCCTCGAAAGCGCGAATCAGTTCCACGAGCCGCCATTGCGCCTGCAAGCGTCCGAGAGCCTGCTCCACATCTTGTACACCACTGCCGCTGCTGGACGCTGCTGGAGCGCTGACCGCCATGACCGCGGCGCGGGCCGTGCTGACCTCCAAGCGAGTTGCGTCAAGTTCTTGGGCCAACGAAACCATCCCAGCTCGCTTGGTGCCCAGCTGCCCTGGCAGATCGGCAAGCTCAGCGTCGAGAGCATCATGCTCGCGCTGCTTGGTGGACTGCCTGTCAAGGGCCCCCTGGGCATGTCATCTGGCGTACGACTGGAGCGCTCCTGCTGCTCCGCAAGCGCCAGCTGCTTCTTGGCGGCCACGATGAGCTCGGAGGTCTCCTCGAGCTGCAGTCGCCGAACAGCCTGAAGGGGCTTGCGAGCCCTGGCGACAAGGTCGACCTCCTCAGGCGCAGGCCCGACGGACGCGTTGTCGCGAGCAGTGCTGCGCCTGCCTGCCCTTGCCGAGGCAGAACGTTTGCCGTGTCCAGGAGGGGTCGCGCCGCTGGGATCTGGCCGCCCTTGCTTGTCCCTGCCACACTGGTAACAACGCTCAGCATTAGGAAAGTTACGCTGATACCCGCACACACGTTTCGCCACGCAAGCCCAGCGGCCCCTAGGGCCCTTGGCCTCATCTTGGCGGTTGGCGCCCTTGCCCATGAGTGCGGCGGGCACACGGGAGCCGTGATGGCCACGAAGGGTTTGAGCAGCACGGTGGAGCCGAAGAACGAGACGGGCTCTCCCACGTTTCCTCCGAAGCCGCCGATGCCACCCAGGGGATGATGGCTTGAGGCCGCGAGCGAGGCCAGCAGGGCGTGCCGCCCGCTTGCCTCCTCCGTGAACAGCCCCGCCGCCGCCCCAGCGGCCGCGAGCGCGCCAGGCAGCGCCTGGGGCTGGGGGTTTTCCCGATGGCGGCCCTCCCGCGCCCCCGCAGGCAAAAGGGCTGCAGGGGGGCAGTTGGGGTCGCGCAGGAAGCCACCTGGTAAGAGGGAGAGGAGGAGGATGGGAGGGGGAGGAAGAAGAGGAGGGGGAACAGGAGGAACAAGAGGAGGAACAGGAGAAGAGGATGAAACAATAGAGAAGGAGGAGGAAGGGGAATACTAGGAATACTAATAATACCAAGAAGACGAATACGAACAATAGTAGCAGTCGAAATAATACTAATCGTAATATTGATTAGTATTATTATAATAATATTAAATAATCATCATCATAATCATAATCATAATCAGAATCATAATCATAATCATGATATGAGGAGGGGGAACATGAGGAATGGAACGCGAGGAAGATGAGGAGGAGGAGGAAGAGGAGGAAGGAAACAGGTGAAGAAGGGAAGGAACGGATGGTGACAGGGAGGATAGAGTCGGGCTTCGGATATTTCGGATATGCGTTGTAAAATGTATGTGGGTGTTTGACGAGAATACATGTTGTGTTGGAAGTATGTTGTTGTGGTGGGGTGAAAAGTGTTGTATCGATATGTTTTTGCAAGGCAGCACAGCCCCCAGATGCCAGCAACCACTCCCAACCGGGGCACCCAGGTTGACTTCCAGGAAACATATGCATTTGATGTATGAATCGTCTGCAAATTCTGTACAACTAGAATCGCAGTGTCAGCTCAAGATGGCTGGTTGCAATTGGTATCAGTGGTTTTTGTTGGTGCAAGTGGAGAAGTGGCCATGTCGGTTGTAATTGGTGCCCGTCGGTTGGGATAGGTCCGAAGCGAGGTGGCGACCCCCCGGGTCTCCTTCGGGACCCCCCTACGCTACCAACCCCCTTGGCGCGGGGAAGGGATCAACTGGAAGAGGCTTCATGTCGACTCGATTACAAAGTTGAGGTTCGATTTTTGTCTGGGTGCGTCGGCGGATTGAGGAGGGCCTGGGGACAGGGGGAGAGTTGCGACGGCGACCCAAACGGAAAACCGTCTCAGGCACGCCAACAGGATGATTTTCAACCCAGTGTTACCACCCTTGTCACTAGTACGGCTGTTGGTACCACTACCAGTATTGCCACCATTACCACTACGACTGCTATTATTATACAGCTATATGACGATGCCTTTTCATGTTACGACATGTGCTATTATCGAATTTATATGGTTGTTAGTAACAGTGCTACTGTGACCTTGGATGATGCTGCTTCGTGTGGTGTCAGTAGTATTGCTTCGCTCACTCTCTAGTGACCTACTGTCCATCCCAACACCGTCTTGGGGATGTATCTTGGAAGCCCCTTGGGGCCTCCTGGGCTACCTCTTGCGTGCCGTCTGGACACTTTCTGGGCAACTCTTGGAGGCCGCTCAGGAGTCTCTGGGGGTGTTTTGGGTCGCCTTGGCTGGGAGAGGCCCTGGACGAAACAGACCACCTTCAAGGCGTTTCCAAAAGTTTTACATCCAGGAGGCTCACGAAGCACACGGCAGTAGCGCCAAGAATTGCCCAGGATGGAGAATAGCCATCTCTCTCTTTCTCTCCCTGTCTCGTTGTCGCTCTGTCTCACGGTTGGGCGTGTTTTTTGGGGGTGCCCTTTGTGGGCCCAGGCCAGGTACGGTGGAGGATGATGTGCATCATCATTCATATATGATTTCTTTGCACCGCTGCCATTGCTGCAATAGTCATGGTTGTTGGTACGACTAATGCTAACAGCACGACGGCTAACGTGCTATTGGCATGGTTATTACAACACTTACCATTACAACGCTACGATTGCCATTACAGGTTGCTCCTACTGGAGACAGTTAGTGTCATTGCAAGTGCTACCACCATTGCCCTTATTTTCGCAGCTGATGTTATAAGTATTGCCACATCTGCCTCAGCTGTCCCCGCCATGCAAGGCTTGCTAATTCGCCCATCACCATCCCCACAATAATCGTCCCTGCATCCCTCGGATCCCCTGGAAACGGTGGCATGGGGTGCAATAATTAGGGGATTCAGGAGCCGATGGTGCATGGACCGCTGACGCGACACCGTTGGTTCGAGATTTGTGCCTGTATTCCTTGGATACTCGAGATCCCCCAGACAATTTGAAACTCAGATCTCCGACGTCGTGAGATTCTTCGCAGCGTCGACCCCCCAGAGGTCTAGACCACTGCCCAACGACCTGCGTTTCTTCGCGTGTCGTCGTTTGACGTTCCCGGGGATTGGTGAGGGCCCCCAGAGGCCGAACATTGCCAAAAGCCTCTTAGTCTTAGTTTTGGACGAGTCTTAGTTTTGGAGGCCTCTTAGTCGCCCCTCTCAAGCATACGTCTATTATGTGGTGTGCGTCGGCCCCGCAAAAGGGCGAGGCGCACGCGCAGAAGCCCAATAGCATAAGCTCCGTGGCGGGTGCTTCCTGGCCATACCACTCGGGAAATGATATACCGTAAAACTTGTGCACAGTGGAGACACTGTCTGACCTGATGCAAAGTGGAGGCGCTGTCTGACCTGAAGCTTCACAGAGCAGCGCTGCGGCGCGTGACGACCTTCCTCCACAGTGGGGCGGGCTTTGCCCGGCAGGTCAGTTCAGTTCAGTTCCCAACGCCCGTCCTGCGATGTGCAGGTCCAGTACACGATCTCGCTCACCAACGGGCGGCCCGACTTCCCCAGGCGCCCGCGGGCCGCTCGGGGGGAGGTGGGGGGCTCGCTTGTTCCCTGAGCAGGAGGGGGAGGAGGGGGAAATGAAGGAAATGGAAGAGGAGGGGAGGAGGAGGAGGAGGAGGAGGACGCGGACGAGGAAGGGAGAGGGGGAGGAGGAGAAGTAGAGGGAGCAGGAGCAGGAGGTTGAGCAGGAACTGGACTGAGCTCTTCGGACGATCTACACATCAGCGATTCTAGTGGCACGTCGAAAACATAAGCGTATTTTGTGAAGCACCCCCAAAAAAGTATCACCAGTACAGATACGGCATCCCAGTATTAGGGTAAGTGCGATCCCTGTGAATGTTGGCAGTCTTTTTGGACCCGGTATATTCTCTGCACTTGGGAGGAATCTTTCCATGTACCCGGTATTTGCCAGTATTCCACCGTATGCCAAGGGAATTGCGATATTTGTAATTGGTAGTTTTTACGGCCATCATAACACTTGTATGTTGCCGGTGCTTATGATATGTATTATGCGTATGTGTGCAACATGTGTAGTGATCTGGGATGTAGTCATCCGAAGAGCTCCAGGGAAAGGGGGCTGGGGGAGGAGGACGGGGGGGATGAGGAGAAGGAGGACACGGAGGAGGAGGAGGGGGGAAGAAGGTGCAAGAGGATGGAGAACGGGGGGGAAGCAGGAGGAGGAGGAGGAGGATTAGGAGGATGGGAAGGAGGAGGCAGAGTAGGAAGAGGAGGAGGACGACGAGGAGGAGGAGGGAGGAGGGAGGAGGAGAAGGAAAAGGAAAAGGAGGAGGAGGAGGAGGAGGGGACGTGGAGGAATTGTTTCTCCCCCTTTTTTCCCCCTGCCGTTTTTGTTTCTGCCTCCTGTGTCGCTTGGGATCGGTATCCATGTCACGTATCGTCAGACTGCGAGCGAGAGGGTCAGACATCCTCCGACCTCCAGGGCTTTCGACTTCCAAGGATCTCGATGTCTCGTCGCCTTTGGAGTGCATCCTCGGGGTTCTTTGTAGCAACAGCTAGACCCAGCTCGAAGAACTGTCGGGGACAAGTGGTCGGCAGAGTTTGTTTTAAACAGATGTGGACCGGGGCATTATCGACCATATGAAGTGTGAGCCAGAGGCCTAGTGCAGATGTGTAGTTTATTATACCAGCGTCTTGTCAGCAAGTTGTGGCTATCTTGTGTGCATTGTCGTGTTTCGCTGTTGGACGCAACTGTTTGGTTTCAGGCACCTTTTCGGTTTGTAAGGCAAACGGATCGTCTCCTCACTTACTTTATTTCTGCATGGCAGCGGAGCCCTCCGCTTCCACCAGCTCCAGACGAGGATTCGAGCTGGTAGGTGAGGACAGGGGGCTCCCGCCCGTTCAGGACCTCTGGGCGCGGCATGCGCGCTACATCCTCAGGAGAGCCCTCCAGAGGCGGACCTGGTGGGCGATTGGTCAGTTTCTTCAGGAGGTCAAGCGGGCTAAGACAGCAGCTCGGCTCGCAGTGGAGCGGGAGCTACTCCGTTGACTATGGCGACGCTAGAGGAGATGACACAGCAGATGCAGCAGTTGATTGCAAACCAGAGGCAGATTGCGACTTAGATGCAGAACCTAGACGCGGAGAGTGCACGTCTGAGGTTGGAGCGCCAGCAGGGCATTAGGCAGCTGCCCGACCTAGTCGAGCCTTTGACGAATATAGTTGAGCAGAAAGGTCTGCAGAGCTCGACACTCGTGGACAGTCGTGGGATAGACAAGCAAAGCAGCTTCAGCGGAGACGAGAACAAGTTCAGAGTGTGGAGCAAGAAGTTCGAGGCGCTCGCGGTTTCCATGTTTGGAGATAAGTTGCGAGAAGTTCTCGGCTGGGCGATGGAACGGCCAGATCCAGTCACTCTCGAGGCGGTTTTCCTTCGGAGCAGAAGCCGAAGATCCGGTGGGCAACATGTCGGGGATCAATTCGCAGTTGCTCGCGGCTTTGCAGCAGTTGCGCACTGGAGAGTCCTCCGACATCGCGAGCAACGTCGCGGCGAACACTGGCTTCGATTGCTAGAGAACGCTACGCGAGCGTTGCGATTCTGCAATGGAAGGTCGCAAAAAGGGCGATGCTCAGAAGTGTGCTGAATCCCGCGCAGGCTGCCGCTGACGAGCTGCGATCGGCGCTTGAGCGCTGGGAGGAGCCCGCGGCGCACTATGAGCGCAGACGCGGACCAGATGGAGTTCGAGAGGTTGTGCCCGAGGACATGCGCATGTCTGCTCTGGAATCTCTCTTGCCGGGCGACCCTGCCAAGCGCATCCAGCTGAACCACTCGAGATTCACAGACTACGGGTCGTCTTTGAGGGTCGAGGGGGCGCAGTGCATTGAGCAGTGGACAGGCAACAGAGCCAAGGATCCCTTGATCGCAGGCGGCCCAGGTGGGGCAGGTCAGCGCCGTCGCGGCGCAGATGACATAGACGTCAGCATCGCGGCCAGAAGGGCGACTTCAAGGGCGGCGAGGGATCCATGGGGCACGGGCTGCGGCGGATGCACAGGTGGCAAGGGCGACTCCAAGGGCGAGAAGGGCGACGCTGCAGGGACCACGTGCTGGAACTGCGGCAAGTAAGGTCACGGGGCGGAGAACTGCCGGCAGAAGTTCAAGACGGAACCCAGGGGTGACTCCGAGGGTTCCATGTCTGGAAAGAAAGGAGGCAAGAAAGGAGGCAAGAAGGACGTGAACCAGGTCGACCGGGACTGGGACGAGCACGACCACGAGGGGCACTGCGAAGATCAAGGACAGCCTGGGCCTGAGGATGCTGGAGGTCTGGAGCTATGTGCTTTCGCGCCTCCGGCGCGCGTCGTGGACTCGCAGGGCTGGGCGCCGGTCCATTTCGATTCAGGTGCTGCTGCTGCGGTTTTCCCCAATGGTTGGACCCCGCGAGCCAGCCGAGCGGGCGACAGCGTCGCGCCGCCGACGGCCAGATCTTGGGCGCCGAAGGCATGGGCGAGATCAAGTGCCACGATGAAAACAATCGGCCGGCTCGATTCCGAGCCAGAAGGACGGCAGCGACCACGCCGCTCGCGTCGGGCCCCAAGATGTCGAGAGACAAGATCGGGCATTGGGACAGAGATGGAGAATTGATATATGCAGAAGACGGCGTGCTGGGGCGAAGGCTTCGACGGTTTCTGCAGCGCCTCCGGCGCGATCATCCAGACGATGGCATCGGCCTTTGGCACGAGAAGGGCGCGTGCAATACGCGCCTCTAGGTGGGCCCCAATTACGGCGGCTGCGATCAGGAGCTCGTCGAGCATGTCGCCCCGGAAGCCCGCGCGCACTGTCGAGGGAGAGCTTGCCGCGCGCGCCGCAGAGCAGGCCGGAGGTCCAGCGCCGGGGGGCCGCCGGCAGGTCTATCCGCATGCCAGGCCGCCACGGCACCAGCCCCCCCCGCTGCGGGGGGGCCTCTGGCAGGGGCCGCAGGGTCGGCGGGGCCTGGCGCGGCTCCACCGCCACCGGCCCAGGCGGATGCGAGACCACCGAGAGTTTGAGCGGCGAGGCCTCGCATTCTTGGCGATGCCTTGTCGGAAGCCACGGCGCCGTGGGGCGATCGCTTTGCCCGGCGAGAGCACAGGCGACTTCTCGGAGAGAGCGCGCGGCGATGTTCTAGATTATTTGGGCCACAAGAGGTTGGTTCTCAGGCCAGGCGTCGAGGAAGTGCTGCTATCCTTGAAGCAGGCCGTCGTAGATTGCGAAGGCAGAGACATCATTATTGAGGAGTCGCCTGCGGGCGACCACGCTGCTGATAGTCAGATCGAGAATGCAGCGAGGATCGTCAAGGGTCAGGTCCGCGCCCTTTCGTTGGCATTGCAGTCGAGATGGGGCAAGCGTCTTTCGCGCGCGCACCCGCTCGCGCTCGGGGCCATCGGACACGCGGCGTCAGTCATCAATCGATTATGAGTTGGAGCTGACGGTCGAACTGGAGAGCAGCATCGCACAGGACGTAAGTGGGGGCGCGTGAGTGTAGCCCATGGCGAGCGCGCCCAGGGCGAGAAGCTTGTGGTTGACCAGAGGGGGCGCGATTTGGAGTCGAGTTGTATTAGCGGGTTCTACATCGGACATTCTAGTGGAAGTGGATGATCACGAAGGACGGCGTTCAGCGAGCTACTGGGCTGGCGCGACGAGACCAGGTAGAGAGATGGAGATATGGCCCAGATGTACTCGAGCTTCAGGGTGAACCCTGGACTTGGCAGCGTGGGCGGGGGGAGCAAGCTGTTGCGGCCGTGCCCCCGCCAACTGAGGCCGTTCGACTTGCGGCCCTTCCCGCGGGTGCCCAGGCGCCTCCGGCGCCGCCGCCGCGGGCGGGCCCCCCGGTCGCGAGGGACTTCCATGTGTCGAGGGCCATGTTCGCGAAGGTTGGCTACACCGCAGGTTGCAGATGCCGCGACGAACTGCGAGTGCATGGGCGGCGTGGAGCGACAGGACTCAGCCACGATGCTGGCTGTCGGTCGCGAGCGCATGATGATCTGGTTAGTCTTGGCGACGAGAAGGCCATCGACTTCCTGGCCGAGAGAGCCCGCCTGACGGGTTAAGACGCGGAGCCAGCGGCTGCTGCCGCGAGGCCGTCTGGAGCTGAGCAGGGCGATGCCCCTGCCGCACTTCCCGCGCCAGCAGGGGGGGGAGGAGGAGGAGGCGCAGGCGCTTCCCCCGCGTGACAGCCCGGGCCTTCGGGCGAACCGGCTTCGGAAATGGTGATGCAGATCGAGAGGTCTCTGACAGTGATGCGAGCTTCTGAAGATGCACCGCGACGCGCGGCTGCGCGAGGTGCCGAGGGCAAGCCGGCCTCCAAGGCGCCGGCATCCACGCATCGCGACCCTGGAGCGCCTGCCAGAGTCCGAGCTCGCGGCGCAGAGATCGAGGGTGGACTTGGCGAGTCCAGAGGAGCGGCTGCTTCTGGAGAGGTTCCCGCAGGCGAACCCTCGAGCTCCTCGGCGGGCCCAGCCGCCGGGCCTTCGAGTTCCGCAGACGGGGCCATGGACGTGAGAGGCCTGGTGGTCGAGGAGGGGATCCCGCTGGAGCTGCAGTCGCTGGTGATCAGTGACTTGTTCAATCCAGGGCGCTTCAACGCGCTGGCACCTGCTCTTGGATTGGCACCCGGAGTTGCTGCAGATCTCGAGCTCGTCAGTGAAGGTGGCGACCCGCATGGCTTGGGTCTCGAAAGCAATCCAGCGACGTTTCAGCGCGATGTTGATTTTGAGGGTCCGCAACTACTATGGTCGGCCCCTCCGCGCACGAAGTTTTCGACGTTGCAGGCTCTCAGTCGAGGCAAGCGCGCTGACAAGGAGGAGCGCCCGCGCCTGGCAACACTGGACACCGAGTTATTGCATCTTGGAATTCAACAGTGTCGGAGGAGATATAGAGGAAGCGTTGGTTCCTGCATGATCATCCCTGGGCTTCGAGTTCTTGGAAGGATCCTGAGGTAGCTGCGCTGGCTTCCCTCCAGGCGTTTATGTTGTTCGGCGAGATATGCGTTCGTGGGGCCTGAAGACTAAGAACGACAAGGGGGATCTGGAGCCCGCGATGAAGGCCACGGGCTGGATGACTAACAACCGCAAGCTAGCTGAACTCCCAAGCCGCAGGCGCAACGGGAAACGCAAGCATACGCAGCTCATGGGCAAAAGCACGGTCAGGAGAGCTAAGACCTATACGATGAAGCTCAAGAAGGGTATCCTTGGAGCTCTCAAGCAGGAGCTCGTTCGCATTGGGGAGTTGCATAGCGTTACCCAGGGGGGCCCTGTCCCGGATGATAAGATTGAGTTCTGGATGCGGACGGCGTGGCCGAGAACGGTTTCTGGTGCGATGTTAACGGAGGTCGGGGAGATCCTAAGCTCCTGAAGAAAGAGAGGGATGTCGAGATGGATGGGCGGGCGATCCGTCTACGCAGCGCGCGATGAGTCCGAGCGCTATGAGGCGACGAGGGCGGGCCGATTAACGCGGGCCGGGTCGACGCGCACAAAGGGGATTTTGAGCTCGCTCGATATCGTTCGAGGCCAGCAGCAAAAGAAGTGGAGAGCGCCAAGCTGCCTGGCGAGCAGCTTTGCGCTAGCGAGTTGTTTCGCGCCCCCCCCCCCCCGTCGCATCGATTCGGCCCCCGGTTGGCCTTTCGGTTTCACGGAAGTTTTCGACGCGGGGTTCGCCGTTGAAGAATGGTTTTTTGGGATGTCTCTCGGGCCCACTTGCACGGGGGGGGGGCTCAGAGGAACGCCCTCGTGCGCCTACCCCCCGAAGAGGGGGGGCGAGCTGGCTAGCGCGCGCGGCTGAAAACGTCTCTGCGCGGCACCCAAGATGCATCTCACATGTGGTAAGAAGACTATCACTCACCTGGCTGGCGAGAACTGGAGGCAGGGCGCGGCCTCGGCCGCGCTCATCTACAGCGAGAGACCGACGGCGGTCGAGGAGCGGCCCACGGCGATGATTCTATGGTTCTAGGATATGAGATAACTTTAAGTGAAGTAGATCTTTGTCGCGGGCCCCGGTACGATATGATATGCACTGGGGCCCTGGGACTGGGCCCTGGCGATCAGAAGGAGGTCGTCTTTTCGAATCGCGTTCTCAGGTTTGCGGACTCACCCCGGGCGGTAGAGATGCGAGGGAATCAGCGCCAAGTAGACGTCACCCCGCGCGATCTCGGCCCAGACCGTCCAAGCTCCAAGGGCTTAGAGAGTCTGGCTGCCAAGCTTTCGCTTAAGGAGGCTAAGTCTATGGGGGGCACTACCTACGCTAGACGTTGCAGGGATTCGTTCACATCGGTACTTGGTCATGCGCGCTGCGCACTTGAGTGTAGACAGGCGGGACTTGGCCGAGGCTGCCAAGACTTCGCGCAGGTCTATGAAGTCTCCGATGGCCGCCAACCAAGCGGATATGAAACGTCTTGGTAGGTATATTGTGCCCCACCGTTGTCTAGTCAGTCGTTTCGAGTCGCAGAGCTTGCCCACCGAAGTGACAGTGATAGTAGATAGCGATCGAGCCGGGCGCCCGGTCACCCGCAAGTCAACTTCAGGAATCTCTCGCAAGTTTGGCCATCGTGCGCTGAAGGCAGCCCGCTCTTTCCAGAGCACCATCAGTCTCAGCTGTGGCGAAAGCGAGTTCTATGCCTCTGTGAAGGGTGCTGCTACTGGTTTGCTGGTGCAGTCTATAGCGCAGGATCTGGGAGTTTCCTTGGGTGTCTGCGTTCGCAAGAAGGACGATGTTCCGATTCAGTTGGCTTCGGACTATAGTGTTGCTCGGGCTTTCGCGCAGCGCAAGGGACTTGGCAAGCAGAAGCATGTGCAAAGTAGATATCTTTGGGCCCGGGATGCAGTCTCGAAGCGACGGATCCAAGTAATTAAGGCAGCTGCTGATAATACTGATAGTGATATGTTCACCAAGTACGTGCCGGCGCATGCGTTGCTCGAGCATCTGACGAGCATAGGCTTTGAGTTTAGAGAATCCTGGAGCAAACAACATAGAAAGTTGGCCTCAAGAGTTTGCTTCGGACGGCGCTTTAGGAGGAGTGCATATGTGTAGCTTAGCATGTCAGCGTCTTGCTAGCAAGTTGTGATTATGTTGTTTGCATTGGCATGTAGCACTGTTGGACGCACCTGGTCATATCCAGGCACTCTTCGGCTTGTAACGATAACGGGTCGTCTCCTCATTGACTTTATTTTTGTACCTAGATAATATGCGCACACGATTTTGCCTAGCATGTCAGCTAATCTGCACACGCGCAACGAGCTCCCCAATACTACGCTGAAGATGCTAAGGCTGCTAAGGCGCACTCCATGCTCGAGTGAGGGTATGGAGCAATGCAGAGAAATATGGATGTCTATGACTGCGACAGAAGAGTCCGCCAATACAAAGGTCGGACTGTTGAGCACTGCTGCTGTTGCTGCTCCTCCTCCTCCTCATCCTCCACAAACTCCTCTTGGAACCCACACAGGCGCTCCCTAGGCCCTCCTACGCGCTCCCAAACGTCCCCAGGCGCTCCATGGCGCCCCAGGTTTTCCAGGAGTTTCCCACGCGTTCCTAGGCGTTCCCGAGTTCCTGGGGGGGCTGCCCAAAAATCCTCACGCGCCAGATTTTCATTCCGGATCGATATCTGACGACCCTGGGGCCCAAAGCGGGCCTCCAGGGGCCGAGTCACAAAGAGCCTCCCCAACAGATATCACCAAAGAAACCGAACGCCTGCGAACTTCAACACAATACAAGATCAGTGCGAATGAAGACTCACCCAGACAGCCCAAGATCTGTTTTTGTTCCAATCCTGGCGGTTTTATTTAGGTTTCGGCACGAAAAAACGGATCTGGGAAGAAAAATGCCTCCAGTGGGCCCGTGCTGTCGGAACAGATATCGGAGGGGGATTTCGCGGAGGAGCAGGGGGAAGAGGAAGAAGGAGAGGTGGGAAGGAGGGCTCCTTCTTGGGTTCTTACGACACTTAGAGTAAGCGTTCGGAGGCCTGCGCTGATTTTTTTCGGCACGCTTCAGAACCCCGCTCCGGGCCCTAAACCCTAAACCAGAGCACGCCTAGGGACGGCGCTGGGGACGGCGGCTGGGACGGCGCCCCCGACCAGGCGTTGGGGAGGACGAGGAAGGAGAGGGAGGGGAGCCGGAGGTAAGAGGGATTGTTGGGATTTCAACACCGCGAATCAACGTAACTTGAGCGCGCCCGTTGTGTTACTACGGGGGATCGGGTTTTGAGCTGATTTCATTTCCCTTTCATTCCCTTCCCCTTAATTTTCCCTTCCGCTAGTTTTTCCCATTCATTGTCTTGTATTCCATTTAATTGTCTTGTCTTCCCGTTAATTGTTTCGTCTTCCCGTTAATTGTCTTGTCATGTATTCCCGTTAATTGTCTTGTATGCCCGTTAGTTGTCTTGTATTCCCGTTTGCTGTCTTGTATTCCCTTTATCTGTTACTTTTCGACTCCAAGGCCCCAGTGGGTGCTTTCACATACAGGAGGAGACGGAAGAGGAGGAAGAGGAGGAGGAGGAGAGATATCGTCGATAAACCTATCAAGTTCGGTCTCGAGGGACTCGTCAGCCTGGCGCCCGAGGGGGGCGGCGCCTTGATCCTCCTCGGGCCTCGGGCGGCCGTCCGGGGCGACTCCAGCGCCTCTGCAAGGCTCTCGGCGAGGCGCAACTGCAGGAGAGCAACCCGAGTTCCCCCACCCCTTGCCCCACATGATTTTCATTGCTGGGAATTACCGTCCAAGAGTTCGGTGATTACCGTCCAGAATTAACGGGCCTCCCGGGGACCTCCCGGGGCCCCACCTCCTGGGAATTCTTCCCGATAATTTCCCGATAAGTATATTGATTAAAACAATCACAACGAATTACCGGGAAGGCCCCCATGCACATCCCTGGGCCCCAACCTCCCGGGACCTCCCGGGAAACTTGTCCCTCCAACGCCTGGACGGTAATTCCCGTTAATTCGGGACCTCCTCCTCCTCTTCCTCCACCTCTTCCGAGCCCTCTCCTCGGGACCCTGGGGGCCCCGAGGGCCCGACGGGGCCCCCTGGTGAGGGCCCTCCTCAGCAGCTGGAGCAGGCGAGAGCTTCGAATGCCGAGCCCGTGCCTCTTCCCGTGCCTCCTCCCGTGGCTCCCCAGGGCTCCTGTAGGCCTTTGAGGTCCATGGGTGTGGTTGTCCTGTAGCCCCACCCCCTCTACGTGTAATGTAGGAATATAGACTAACCATGTAAGACCGAGTATGACTGACGCCCATAATCATTGCTTGGAGCAGGCGGGAATTATAGGGAAATGATTTGGAATCATACGGAAATTAAAGGGAAATTATTGTACTTAGGGAAAGGACATGGAAATCATAGGAAGTTCAAACAGGGAATTATCGGCAACTCAAAACCCGATCCCCCCTCTTGTAACACAACGGGCGCGCTCAAAACAACTGTTGCACCCGCATAGCCCTGATTTTTTGTAAAACGCCATTTCTGGTATGGGAACCCGTTAAACTCTTTCAGCAATTTAAAACGAATGAATGTGCGCGGCGCTAAGGCGAGAGCCACATTTTGAAAGGAACTGCCCTCAATCCGTGAAACTCGTGCAAATTTTCAAAACGAATATGCGCATCGCTAAGGCGAGGGGGGGGGCAAGAAAAAACGAATGCGCGCGGCGCTGAGGCGAGCCACATTTTGAAAACCACCCGCCCTCAATCCGTGAAACTTTTGCACATGTCGACAACGAATATGAGCGGCGCTGGGGCGAGAGCCACATGTTGAAGACCTCCCGCCCTCAATCCGTGAAGCTCTTGCAAATTTTGAAAACGAATGCGCGCGGCGCTGAGGCGAGAGCCACATTTTGAAAACCACCCGCACTCAATCCATGAAGCTCTTGCAATTTTTCAAAACGAATATGCGCGGCGCTAAGGCGAGGGGCGGGACAAAACAAAACGAACGTGCGCGGCGCTAAGGCGAGCCACATTTTGAAAACCACCCGCCCTCAATCCGCGAAAGTCTTGTAAATTTTGAAAGCGAATGTGCGCGGCGCTACGGCGAGAGCCACAATTTGAAAACGACCCGCCCTCCATCTTTGAAGCCTTTGTCACTTTTCAGCTTCAGAGCCATGAGTGGTGAGGAAGTCTCAGGCGAAACTCCGGGCCCGCCCTAAAACTGGCTTCGGGGTGCGACAGGAAAGAAAAAGTTTCCCAATCAGAGCTTGCTTCTGTAGGGGTCCTAGCGGATATAAAGCTGAGGTGAGGTGAGCGGCCGATTTCGGTGGCCGGGGCCGGGTGCCCGGGTGCCCGGGGGTGCCCGGGTGGCCGATTTCGGTGGCCGGGCCCGGGGGCCCGGGGGTGCCCGGGTGTCCGTGGGTGCCAGATAGCCCAGTAGCCCTATAGCCCTATAGCCTTATAGCCGTATAGCCCTATAGCCCTGTAGCCCTATAGTTTTTTTTTTTTTTTTTTTTTTTTTTTTAATATAATATATAATATATATATATATATATATATATATACACACACCGCATAGACCACCCTTCGGGTGATAAGGAGGTGAGGGGGGGGACCACCGACGCACTGGATCGATCTGGCGATCGATCTCACAATCGATCTCACTACCGATCTCACTATCGATCTCGCATTCGGTCTCACTATCGATCTCACTATCGATATCACAATCGATATCACAATCGATCTCACATTCGGTATAACTATCGATCTCACTATCGATACCATTATCGATGTCATTCAATCGATGTCACAATCGATGTCACAATCGGTATCACATTCGGTCTCACTATCGATCCCGCTATCGATATCACAACCGATCTCACAATCGATCTCACTATCGAACTCACTATCGAAGTCATTATCGATCTCTCGTTCAGTCTCACTATCGATATCACAAGCAATATCACAATCGATCTCACATTCGGTCTCACTATCGATCTCACTATCGAACTCACTATCGATCTCATTATCGATATCACAATCGGTTTCACTATCGATATCACAAACAATCTCACAATCGATCTCACTATCGAACTCACTATCGAAGTCATTATCGATCTCTCGTTCAGTCACACTATCGATATCACAAGCAATCTCACAATCGATCTCACATTCGGTTTCACTATCGATCTCACTATCGAACTCACTATCGATCTCATTATCGATCTCACAATCGGTCTCACTATCAATATCACTATCGATATCACAAACGATCTCACAATCGATCTCACATTCGGTTTCATTACCGAACTCACCATCATCATCAACATCATCATCATCATCATCGGGACACCGACGGGACACCGACGGGACACAGGCGGGACACCGCGGGCCCCCGGCCGCCCGGAAGGGAGTCATTTGGTCCGGCCACGCCTCAGCCACACGGGACACCAGCGGGACACCGGCGGGACACCGCGGGCCCCCGGCCGCCCGGAAGGGAGTCATTTGGTCCGGCCGCGCCTCAGCCACAGGAGACTTTCTCTCGCCCGCCCACGCAGCTTCGCCTCGCCCGCACGGCACGCACGAACACGAAACCGAAATCGATTTCCCGGTAGGGGGGCTCGCCGTTCCACTTCGATCTCACACCCCCTCACCTCCGATATATATATATATATATATATATATATATATATATATATATATATATTATATATATATATATGTATATATATATATATACATACATACATACCTATACATACCGCATAGACCACCCTTCGGGTGATAAGGAGGCGAGGGGGGGGACTCGATCTCATTCGATCAATCTTACAATCGACCTGGCTATCGATTTCACACTCGATATCACCAACGATCTCACATTCGGTCTCACAATCGATCTCAGAATAGATCTCACAATCGATCTGGCTATCGATCTCACGATCGATCTCACATTCGGTCTCACGATCGATCTCACTACCGATATAACGGTCGATCTCATTCGATCGATCTCACAATAGATTTCACAATCGATTTCACATTCGGTCTCACTATCGATCTCACTATCGATATCACAATCGACCTCACAATCGATCTCACAATCGATATGACTATCGATCTCATTATCGAACTCACTACTATCGATATCACAATCAATATCACAATCGATCTCACATTCGGTCTCACTATCGATCTCACTATCGAAATCACTATCGATCTCACTATCGATCTCACATTGGGTCTCACGATCGACTTCACTATCGATCTCACAATCGATCTCACATTCGGTTTCACTGTCGATCGCACTACCGAACTCACCATCATCACCACTATCATCATCACCATCATCATCAACATCATCATCATCGTCATCATCATTAGCATCATCACCGACGGGACACAGGCGGGACACCGCGGGGCCCCGGCCGCCCGGAAGGGAGACATTTGGTCCGGCCGCGCCTCAGCCACACGGGACACCAGCGGGACACCGGCGGGACACCGCGGGGCCCCTGCCGCCCGGAAGGGAGACATTTGGTCCGGCCGCGCCTCAGCCACAGGAGACTTTCTTCTCGCCCGCCCACGCAGCTTCGCCTCGCCCGCACGCACGGCACGCACGAACACGAAACCGAAATCGATTTCCCGGTAGGGGGGCTTTCTTATCCACTTCGATATCACCCTCTCACCTCCGATCTATCCCTATAGCCCTAATAGCCTTATATCCCTATAGCCCCATAGACCATATAGCTCTATAGCCCCATAGCCCTATAGCCCTATGGCCCTATAGGTTACAGTCCTATAGCCCGATAGCCCTATAGCCCGATAGCCGTATAGCCTCATAGCCCTATAGCCCGATAGCCCTAACAAACATATGATTGGGGTTTTTCTCCGGTATCATTACTTGTATGATAAAATAATTGAGGATTGGGAGGAGGGAGGAAAGGGTTCCCCTGGCGCGCCGGGGACACGGCACTGGGAGGGAGTTCCAGCGTCGACCCAAGAGGCCAGCAGGAAGGGGGGATCCGACCCACCCAGGGAGGGCGGAGTTTGAAGCGCGGACACCAACGATCTTCGCATGGTTTCGATTCCTTGCCGACTCGGCCCGATCCGACGCACAAACCTTAAGTCGGTCGTGACCCTTCTACAGGAGGAGTATCCAAAAATAATCAAGATCGTATGGGGACGATTTTCTTATCATTTCTTGGGGGTGTATTTTAAATATTTTCTTCCAAAATCCGCCTGTAGGGGACATGCCCGACCGAACACAAGCCGTTCCGACCCGTTGTTTCCGATTCGATGCTGGCTAGTCCCGCCCGCGCGGCCCAGGCAAGCCCGGGGGCCCTTCACGCACGACTTCGCAAAGCAGAGTGCGCCCGCGCCGCGTCCTGCAAGCTCTGCGGTCCGCTGCCCCGCCCCGGCGCGGGTGCCAGGGGCAACATTTGGCGTGGATAGGCTCGGAGGGGGGGCGCATCGACCACCACTCGCACATTCATCCCCGATGGGGGGCCAGACCGCCCGTTCCCCCCAGGAATCTGCAGTTTCGTTATCGGATGTCTATCGCCGATCCGTCGGCGACATGCATATATGTACATATATGTATATGTATGTATGTATGTATGTATGTATGTATGTATATATGTACGTATGTATATGTAGACACATGTGTGCATACGTATACACATAGTAAATGTGTATGTTTTAACACATGTATGTATATGTGTGTGTCGATATATATATATATATGTATATATATGTATGTTTGTGTGTGCGCACATGTCTATATATGTATATACATATGGATAAGCATCGAATGAACCATAGCTATGCAGCCCCATCGATACCCATGTGTATGCACATATACCTAAATGTGTGTGTGATTACGTGCGCATACAAATACATACATACATAAGTATGCATATATATTTTATATATATATATATATAGATATATATATACGTACATATACATATACATATACATATACATATACATATACATATACATATACATATACATATATGTGTGTGTATCGATCCGTGTGTATGTACAAGTGCATAATTATACTTGAAATATAATGACCTGTATACATATATATATATATGTATACGCGTACCTATATTGATAGTTACGCGTGTGGCTCAATATGTTTTGAATATTTTACATATGTACATACCACCGCTTACGAATTGCATGTTCCTGAACACTGTGTATATACACCCGGGCTTTATATATGCATAAAAACCGTTGTACATACATACATGTATACACATATACAAGTACGTCGCCATACGCATACTTATACATGCATACACATGGTATGTAAGTAGGTGTGATCGTGTGTATATACTGTTGGTGTTTTATAGGTAGGGCAAGGCGCAGGCGAGCATAGCATGCCATGGTGTGTTCGATAGCCTTCGGCCCGAGGAGTTGAGGTGAGAAGCATCACATCAGGAGTTAATGTAGATCGCAACATGGTTACGCGGAGCTAAAATTCGATCCACGGACGGAATGGCGACGCTCGAGCAGCTGGCCCAGGCACTCCAGGAGGTGCGCCAGCAGCTCGACGGAGAGCGAGCAGCACGGCTCGCAGCAGAGCAGTCTGCAGGCGGCGCAGGAGCTGGACCGCAGAGAGGAACTCGGATCGACGGCGGGCAGGAGCAGCACATCGACCCGCGAGTGCTGAAGAAGTGCCCGATCTTCAACGGCAGAGACGAAGCCTGGCAGGAGTGGTCATTCATCTTCGAGAGCGTGTGCGGGATGGGAGATCTAGAGGACACCCTCGACGCAGCATCGAGAGACCTGGCGGACCTGAAGTTCAGCGTGTTCAGTCCAGAACAGCAGCAGAGGGCCAAGCAGCTCTACTTCCTGCTGGTCAACACAGTCAGGGGCAAGGCACTGACGTTGGTGAGAGGCGCGGAGAAACATAATGGCATCATCGCGTGGAAGAGGATCAAAGCTGAGTACGCGCCAGACGTCGGAGGGAGACACACCGCACTGTTGATGGGGATCTTGCAGCCAGGCTGGGACCAGAAAGCGACAAGCCAGGAGTTCACGAACGACATGACAGCATGGGAAACCCGCATCACAGAGTACGAGACGGAGAGCACCGAGACGGTCAGCGACGCGATGAAGATCGCAGCGCTGGCAAGCCATGCTCCCGAATCAGTTCGAGCAATGGTGAGACTGGCGACAGGGCCAGCGAACAGACGCTATAAGGAAGTGCAGCAGAGCATCCGAGAGCACCTCCAGTTCGGCAGGACCTTCAACAAGAACGGCAGGAGTGTCGGAGCCGATGACCAGATGGGACCTGCACCGATGGACGCCGACGCAGCTTACAACAGTTGGAAAGGTGCCGGAAAGGATCGCGGCAAAGGTGGCAGTGGCAAAGGCAAAGGTGGTTGCTTCATCTGCGGGCGGCCTGGACACAGAGCTGAGAACTGCAGATTGAAGGGTGAAGGAAAAGGCGACGGCTCAAAAGGTAAAGGTCGAGGTGGAGCAGCAGCAGGACCCATGACTAGGTTCGAGGGCGACTGCAAGCACTGTGGCAAGAAAGGACACAAGTGGGCCGAATGCAAATCTCGACTCAGAGGAGAGCCACCAGCCAAACAGGTTCGACCAGTCGAAGAGAAGCCAGCGACGGCGGTCATCGAGGAGGTGAAAGCGGACAACGACAACGAGTACGGGTGCAAGCTGCGCGAGCACTGGGGCGACTACAGCGACGTAGAGGGCCAGCACGAGGACACAGGCAAGCACGACGAGGATCCAGAGGTGCACCCCTGGGAGATCGAAGCCCACGAGTGCGAGGATAGCCACGCGCATGAGCACGCGGGCCAGGTCGAGACCATTAATGACGACGAGGTCGAGTCGCCAGAGGTTCAGGGCGACGACGACCAAGAGGGCGGCGACCAGAGCGACGATGGCGACAAGTGGGTGTTCAATGTGTGGAGAGACGGCCTCGACCAGGCAGGTGGCGAGTTTCTCCCCTTGGACAGCGCTTGCGAGGAGCACACCTGCCCGTGGGACTTCGCCGAAGATGGAGTTGATATCGGACCTGGTGGAGTTCGGCTTCGAGGCGCGAACGGAGACAAGATCCCGCCAGGGCGAAAGATCTTCGTCGAGTATGCGGCGCTGGACATCAACGGCCACACGATCATCAACGCCAAGACGCCGTTCGTGCAGAGCGACGTGAAGGGAGCGCTCCTGAGCGCCGGCAAGCCCGCGAGGAACGGCATCGACATGCACTTCAAGAAAGATGACCCGCGGCTGGAGATCGACACCGACCGAGGACGAGTGAAGGTTCCAGCGCACATGAAGGGACGTACGTTTGGACTACGAATCAAGAGGAAACTATCGCCCAGCAAGCCGACGGTGATGATCGTGCCAGTCGGGGACGAGGTGATGCAGCTGGCACCAGGGAGCGCGGCAGCATCAAGTTCAGCAGCGGCTTCGAGCTCAGCGGCAGCAGCGGCGCCACAGCCTGCGGCAGTCGCAGGGGCACCTCAATCGCCGGACCCAGGTGCATCGGACAGCGCCCGAATGGAACGAGAAGCAGAACAGCTAGCCCAACAATGGCTCGAGGTTCGACAGCACGGTGAGCCAATCGGTCAAGGCGGGCTCTTCAGCGACAGCTCGGTGGAAGACATGCGGAAGAGGCTGAAGGAGCTCGAGGCCCCGATCTGGGGCGCCAAGCAGCAGCCGCGGGGGCGCTCGGCGCACGCGGAGGCGAAGGTCGAGTTGCAGATCAGGGATGAGAAGTGGCTCGAGGAGCGCGCGAGGGGGCTGGCAGAAGCTGGGGGCCAGGGCGAAGTTATCGTACCACGAGCTCCAGCTGAACCGACACCAGAAGAGCGAGCACGACACGAGGTCACGCACCTGCCTTATCAGCCGCGGTGCGCGCGGTGCGTCATGGGCAAGGGCAGGGCCAAGCCGCGCGAGCAGAGGCCAGAGGAGACGAAGGAGCTGCCAGAGTTCGATATGGACTTCTGCCACCTGATGCAGGACCCGGAGAGGAAGCACAACCCTGGAGACCAGGCCTGGGCGACGACGCTGGCATTGGTGGATACGGCAGCGCAAAACCCCATGGTAATAGCAGCCCCGACGAAGTCCGACGAGACGAACTACATCTCATCAACCTGCACGTCTTTCGTCAAGCGGATGGCCTACCCGAAGGCGATGCTCAAGGTGGGCCCTGAGCAGGCGCTGGGAGTGATCGCAGAGCAGGTAAGGCAGAAGTGCTTGACCGACGGGATCAAGCTCGAGATCAAGAAGACGCCGAGGTTCAGCAGCCAGAGCGTGGGAGCTGCGGGCAGAGCTCAGCAATCAGCTGAAGGCCAGATAAGGACGATGAGGCTGGACATGGAAGCGCGGTTATGCATGCAGATCGACCCCTCCATGGACACCTGGCCCTGGATAGTGAGGCGCGCTGGCTGGGTGCTCGAGCGGTATCACGCGAAGGCGAACCACAGAACAGCGTGCGAGGACAGCTACGGCAAAGCGTACCAGGGAGAAGTTCTGAAGTTCGGAGAAGCGGCGCTCTTCAAGTTGTCGGTCACGGCGACGGGCAAAATACGAGGTGGAGTTAGACAAGGACGAGCTGACGACAGGCTCGAGAGAGGGATCTGGTTGGGCAAGACGATCGAGTCGGACGAGCACCTGTTCGGGACCAGCGAGGGCGTGTTCACCACCAGGACGGCCAAGAGGGCGCCAGTCTCAGAGCAGAGCCGAGCGGACCTCACCAAGGCCATCAAGGGCACGCCGTGGGATAGGTTCGCAGGCAGACCGATGGGAAGACCGAGGAAGAGACCCAAGGCGCCGCAGGCTGCACCACTTGTTGCACCAGGGCCGCCCGCGGCCGCAGGGGCATCCGAGCCGAGAGCTCAGGTGCACCCAGAGCCACACGGTGGTGTTGCAGCAGCGGCAGCCCCAAGTCAGACAGCAGCTCCAGCTGGGGGCGATGGCGCAGCTCCAGCTGGGGGCGACGGTGCAGCAAGCATGGATGCGAACGCACAGCGACGCCAAGACAAAGCTCAGTCACTAGGGCCTGCTCCGCCAAGACAGAGACCACCACCATCGCCTATTAAGCGAGACGTGGCGGAATCGCTAGGCATCAGGGCGCCGTCCGAGAAGAAGGCGAGGGTGGACGAGCTGGTCACGATGGACGCGGAAGAGCACCAGGCGGACTTCGACGACGACGCCTACCTGCAGGAGAACAGGGACGAGTACCAGGGCGCCGACCCTGATATCGTGAAGGCCACTCTCAAGGGAAAGGAGAAGGAGATGAATGCGATGGAGGAGTTCGACATCTTCGACGTTGTTGGTACGATCCCTGATAACGCAGATCTTCTGTCCACGAGATGGGAAAGCACACCAAGAGGCCCAGACGGGTGGAGATGCAGATTCGTTGCGAAAGAATTCAAGAGCGACGATCCTGACCTCGAAGGGCTGTTCACGGCAGGAGCTACCAGCAGCACTGGAAGGCTCATGGACCAGCACGCGGTGCAGCACGGTTACAACACGATGGTCTTGGACGCCCAGAACGCGTACTTCCACGCCGACGAGGACGAGGAGGCGCACGTAGATCCGCCAGTTGAGTGGGTCAAGCGGTACCACGCTCGCGGCGGCAAGATCGCGAGGCAGTGGTGGAAGATGAAGAAGCAGCTTTACGGGGAGCGCAAGGCCTCCAATAAGTTCAACCAGTACGTGACGGACCAGACCAATATGCTCGGGATCGATCAGTGCCCCGAGCAGCCCAGCATCTTCAGACGGCCAGGTTCAACACTGGTGTTCGAGGTGCACCAGGACGACATCTACTCGTCAGGGAGCGACACGGAGTTGAAGTGGCTGAAGGAGAACTTAGCGCCAGTATTCAAGCTCAAAGAGGCGAATATCATGAAGGTTGGATCAGTGTACTCATATCTCAGAGCGACGCGCACACGATCCACATAGCGCCGAGGCCACAGTACATCGAAGACATCTTGAGCGAGCTCGGGTTGACTGACTGCAAGGACGTGCCGACACCGATGGTCAACGCGCGGAAGAACGAGGACCTGGAGTTGCCAGCCGCGAGCCCAGTCGACAAGAAGTCGTACAATAAGTGCGTCGGGATCCTCAGGCATCTTCTGAAGTACAGGCCAGACATCCCGTACGCAGTTCACGAGCTGAGCAAGTCACTCAGCGCACCGAGGGACCCAGACATACAGAGGCTCAGACGGTTGGCAAGGTACCTGAAGGGCACGGCAGACTACGGGATTTTGGTCACGAAGAGCGACAACACCGAGTACCTGTACGCCTACTCAGACGCAGCTTGGGCAGGAGACGTTAACGACAGGAAGAGCACGCCAGGCTGCGCGCTGAAGTTCGGCACGACGAACCTCAGGGAGTTCACGAAGGGCCAGAATTGCCAGGCATTCTCCTCTGGAGAGAGCGAGTTATACGCGGCAGTCACCACGGTGGCGGAGGGCCTCCACATGCAGAAGTTGATGGAGTTCATAGGGTTCCCATTGGAGCTCAAGCTCAGGCTGGACTCGACGGCGGCTCGAGGCATCATATCAAGGACTGGGTGTGGGGCGCTCAAGCACATAGAGACGAGGCTGCTGTGGCTGCAAGCGAAGTACGACGAGGAGAAGCTCAAAGTTCACAAAGAGCCGACTGCCACCAACACGGCAGACGGCTGCACCAAGCCACTGCAGGCCACGAAGTTCGCGGAGTGGAGAGCGAGGCTTGGCATGGGATTCGACAACGGAGACGAGCTCGAGACCAGCAAGCGTGAGGCGATCAGTGGCGATAGCGGCCAGTGGGGCAGGCAGAAACAAAGGACCAAGAGCGTTGTTGGCGGCAGCGATGATGCTCAGCACGACGAAGGCGGATACCCAGATAGCAGTGATGGGCAGCTACGAGGTGGCGAGTCCGACGACGGTGACACCATGCACGGCATCACAGATGAGTTGGGCCATGCTGCTCATGATCATCATGATCAGTCTAGTGGTTGGCTGCGTAATGCACCACTACGCGGTGAAGAAGCTCACGGAGTTTCGCAGCACTTCCCTTGAGGCCGTCGGGGGGGGGGGGGGGGGGGGGCGGACGAGGAGGCCCAAGCTGAAGGGCACGAGGCGGACCGTGGCTACACAATCGATGACGACGTGCGCCAGAGGCCGACAGCAGCCCCGTTTCATTCTGACTCCTACCGCATGCGAGGGCTGCTGGAGTCAAGACGAGAGGCTTGATCGGAAAGACAGGTGAAGGCTTGAGCGGCCACGGCAAGAGTGAACCCACCTGGCGGTCGGACGCCAGATTGGGCGGTCGAGCCAGGTCGCCGCGCGGAAGCGGCGCGGAAGCTGGCGCACAGGCGGCAAGTTTCAGACGAGGTGGAAAACACTTCGGCATGACCTCCGCAAGCTACTGTTTGCCGAGGGGGCGTGTTGGTGTTTTATAGGTAAGGCAAGGCGTAGGCGAGCATAGCATGACACGTTGTGTTCGATAGCCTTCGGCTCGAGGAGTTGAGGCGAGAAGCATCACATCAGGGGCTAATGTAGATCGTAACTTATATACATTTACATATACACATAATTATACATATATATATATATATATATATACATCGAAGACGCCCACGGAGAATCGCCGCCGCCCCCTGCCTTTTTGGAAGCGCCTGCGCGGCCGAAAGTTGGGTTTGAGCTTGGCCAAGCTATCGGGCCACGCGTTCCCCGAGTGGGTTTCGAAAGCCTTCGTGGAACACTGGGTCGGGCGAGCTATCAGACCAGGTGGTTTCCGAGTTTTCGGGCCATTGGAGGACGGCTTGGAGGAGTCTTGGGCCGTCTTGGAGGCCTCTGACGGGCCTTTGGGGCAATCTAAGGCCATCTTCAGGCCATCAGGGGCCGTTTTGGGTGCACCTTGGGGCTATATTCGCCGTCTTGGAGGCTTTTTTTGGCAGTCTTGGAGGAATATTGGGCGCCTTGAGGGCCTTGGGGCCGTCTTGGGGTCTTGTTGGGCTCTAAAATGAGCTGGGCAAGGGCGGGAGATAGCGAGCGTTTGTTCGCGGCCGCTCGGGCTCAAGCGGCCGGCCGCCAACATATGACTGCGCCTCGTCGCGAGGCGAACGATTTGCCATCGACACCAAAAACTGATTCATTTGAAATGGCCCGTCGCTCCCGCGACGACGTCCTACGTCTGGGGCTATCGCTATTACGGTCAACAGAGTTGGATGTGGGCTGCGCCTTAGGCGAAGCTGCTGGTTGGGCCTCCCAACCCCGTTTCAAACTTGGTAGCGGAGCTGGCTTATGGTGATCAGCTCTAGCTCTACTCCCCGCCATCCACGGCACTATCTGGTGGACTAGTGACATGGCGGAACATCAGGGTGCAGCGGGTCTGCGCGGAGGAATGCACATAATTACGCAGAACCGCAAGGACACTTGAGGCCTCTCACTTGAAACCTACATCCCTGCGCTACTACATTCCCGAAGACCCACTTACTCCAAGTTGATTTTTTTGGAGACACCATGCATGGCAACATGCGAAACGATATTGCACCGCCTCCACTCCCACGCAGGCTTACAACAAAACAACACAAACCCCAACCACGAACATCCGTCAACGACCTACAGGGCCATTAGATTGGCATTACTATATTTGGCCTTCTACGGGTCGCTATCTGGCGTGCTGTGGGACACATGCGCGGCGGAGGCGACGCCAGAACAACCGGCCCCCATGGGGGCCCGGCCGGTCAAGTACCTTTCCGCGAATTCGCTCGATAGGTACATGCCTGGATCAACGTGACCACAGGTGCTATGACGCCCTCCCAAAAGGCTGCAGCACTACAGCGTGGTCTGGAAGTTCTCGCGCGGACCATTGCCATGATAGCCCCCCTCGCAGTCATCAATTTTGGCGTCAACATTGGCGGTCGCCACACCGATGGCGTCACCTACATCCTTTTCCTCTTCAACACGAAGTTTGAGATCCTAGAGGAGGAGCCAACTTTACTCGGGAACGGCTCTCATCGACTTTCGCGTCCATGCGGGGGAACGGATCGACCAGATATTAGCGCGCTTCGAAATAGCCCGCTATGAAGCTGAAACGGCAGGCTTTAACATCCCCAACTTCCGAATCCGAACAGCCTGTTCAGAGGCTTAGGGGCGGGGGCGTCGCGTTGGCAACATCTCCTACAGCCGCTTCTCCACCTAATCCTGCGGAATCAACAACTACGTGATGCTTCGCTTGAACGCGCGAGGTCCGATGCCCACATTGCTGAGCGAACTCCTGGCAATATTGCTGGCATTCTTAGACGCTCTTAGACGCGGTCACCGCGCCGAAGCCTTCCATGCTGACACTAGCGCAGGGCAGCCCGCCACGAATATTGGGAATGGCGATCCGCAACCTACGGAGGCCACCGCTCTATTAGCCCCAAATGGTGGTCCGCCTACGGGGTCGCGAGACTCCCGGGCAAGATATCAGGGGCCGTCGGCAACGGCGACCCCTGCACGAGCCGCTACCCTTGTGGGCTCAGCGGGGCAACCCGCCGAGTGACTTCGATTCTGAAACCGACGCCGACGCGTCATCCGATGACGGAACTGGCGCCCTAGATGATCCCGACAAGCCTACATATCTCACAGAGGAGCAACAGGCGCAATTGATATTTCTACGATACTCGAAACACAAGCGCTGTTGGAGACGATGCATGAAGAAGCCAGTTCGCGAGACACGACGCGCTATCCCGCGGGGGCGCTTCAACCAAAGGATAAGGGTCGAGGCAAGGGTAGAGGTAGACGACGGCGAGTACATGGCAGACGTACGCTGGCATTCTTAGCACCCCTTACTGCTTTGCAATATGAAGAATTATTACCGGAGACAAGTAGAGGACGCGGGCGCGCCGCGGGCAAGGGCGAGGGGCGTCGGGGCAGCCCGAAATATGCCGACGGTAAACCATGGAATGTGACATGCGCCACAATGCACTACATGTCCGCGGTAAGTGCCCCCAAGGCGATGGGGGGGGCAGGGGTCCGTCAATGCTTTTGGCTCAAACCGGTTCGGACATGCAGTATGTCGATTGGGGGGCGCCGTTGGCCGACCCTGCAGACTATCCTACCGCAGTCGTTGACCTCGCGGCTGCAAGGCATCTAGGCGCCAGCATGTCCCTCGAGAGATGCGCCGACGAGCTCTTCGAGGTGATCTACGTTGGTCACGACGAGATTACCCCGGCAGGCTGGCCAGGCATATTACTGAAGATTTAGGCTTGCAGATCATGCGCATGCGATGCTGCCGCGTTGGCATGAAGTTTGGCCGCTCAAGTGAATTACCTAGCGGATCACACCTGCAGGCGGCGACAACCTACACGCGCATCCCGACTAAATTTTAGAGATGCACGCGCCAAAATGCAGGGGGGGCGCACGGCGTGTCGAGCATGAATTGGACTGGCATGGCCGAGGTGCCCAAGAGGCAGAATGGCGCAATAAAACATTTGCCATCATGACTGCAAGGCTAATTGACCAAACAGATCTGCACAACACACATAGAAAGCATACAAGTGATGTACATTTTAGTGTCCACACAAGGTTAGATAAAGGAGCTCGAACATACGTTCTCTCTCCTCAGAAGGACCCTGAATGGGACCGTGTCGCGAGGCGGGTGACGATGAATTTTGACGACAAAACTATTATGCAATATATCAAGACTCAGGACCAACCTATCGGGTGCAATTACAATGCGCCGTTCTCGAATGGCGTTGCAAATATCCATGTGCGATCATACTTGGAGCCCCCGGCGCGGGGGCCAGCGACCGCGCGCAAGGCGGGTTGCGTTCGTCGGTGACGATCGCCCCCCCCTTCCCTCTTCGATTGCGCGCGGCCGCGCGCCCCCCCCTATTCCCGAATTTCCGACACTTGCTTCGCCCGACGCAGAACAACGGATCAAGCAAAAGGAAAAGCAAAAGGCCGACAAAGAAGCTGGCATCCAGCCACGCAAGAAACCCACAGTAGTCGACGACGGCAAAGACTACTGCGATGAAGACCTGAAAGATCTCGGACGCGGCGCTTACTACACCGACGCCCCCCTGGACTCCGACGCCGGCAGTGATGGCGAAGAGGGCGCCTTCATCGCGTTACCTGCGGGGTTACTTGCGGACGCACGTGCCGACGTGTTCCCCATGATCCCAACCTTGTGTTACGGACGACACAGCGCGGTGGACGCGTTGGATTTGCGTGGAGGAAGCGGGGGGGCATCGCAGTTAGCTTTCAGCCGAGGTACCCCCGCTGGGCCTCCCAGGAGCCCACGAAAATGGCGACAATTGCGCAGATCGCAAGTCCCCCATGGGGCGTCGAGGTCCCGAGGTGGTCCGCGTGGGACGCACCCCCGCTGGGCCTCCCAGGAGCCCACGAAAGTGGTGACAGTTGCGCAGATCGCAAGTCCCCCAGGGGGCGGCGAGGTCCCGAGGTGGTCCGCGTGGGACGTGCCTCGGCTGGGCCTCCCAGGAGCCCGCGAAAGTGGCAACAGCTGCGCAGATCGCAAGCCCCCCAGAGGGCGGCGAGGTCCGGAGGTGGTCCGCGTGGGGCGTACCTCCGCTGGGCCTCCCAGGAGCCCACGAAAGTGGCGACAGTTGCGCAGATCGCAAGCCCCCCAGGGGGTGGCGAGGTCCCGAGGTGGTCCGCGTGGGACGTGCTTCCGCTGGGCCTCCCAGGAGCCCACGGAAGTGGCGACAGTTGCGCGCCTCCCAGGAGCCCACGAAAGTGGCGACAGTTGCGCAGATCGCAAGCCCCCCAGGGGGCGGCGAGGTCCGGAGGTGGTCCGCGTGGGACGTACCCCCGCTGGGCCTCCCAGGAGCCCACGAAAGTGGCGACAGTTGCGCAGATCGCAGACGGCACGAGAGAAGAGGAGAAGGGAACACAGGAAACTTGAGAGAAGGAGGAGGGGAGGAGAGGAGAGGAGGAGGAGGAGGAGGAGGAGGAGGAGGACGGGGCAACACTGCTCTATTAAAAAAAGGAGTGCCCAACCATAGGAGGGTTGGGAATAACCCCTCGCAGAAAAACTACCAAGTCATCACGCGCGCGTCCATGTCAAAATCGTACCAAACACAGAGTGTGCGTGTGCAAACCTAAAAAAAAAAAAAAAGGTTTTGCAATACAAGTTTTGCAAATTTCGTGTCCGCGCGCTCATTCTAAAATCATACAAAACCATCGGAGTCCTATAAATTATACCAAATCCAGCGATTTCGTGTCACCGCGCGGTGCACCCATGATACTCCTGTCATGCGCCGGGGGCGTGAATCCCTTGCAAGAAATACCACGCGGGCCACATGCCACCGCCGCGCGCGCATGATCAGTCTGACGGATATGTTGAACTTCCGCGCGCGCGGATTTCCTTTGCAACCTTGTCAGCGTCACCGCGATCACCTGCCTCGTCGGCGTGATCGGCATCGGCGCCGTCACTGGCCGTGCCGTCGTCGCTGTCGGCATCGTCGCCAACATCGCTATTATCATGATCACCACCATCATCATCATCATCATCATCATCATCATCATCATCATCATCATCATCATCATCATCATCGTATCTACAAGTGTCGACGTTGCCATGATTCCGCGCCCGACCAAGTCGCCGACTCGCACTCAGGTGCCGGCTGGGATGTGCCGAGCGGTCAGCACCACCGCGGCCACAGAGATGCACCAGCCAGCGCCAAGCATTCATCGCAATCGCCGCCGCATGAGGTTTGCAAAGCAGCTTGCGGGTGGGTGGGTGGGATGTTTGCGCCGGCAGTGCAACTCACCACGCAGATTGCACCACACCCACATATCATGCTCGAACACACCGTTTGGTATTCACGCTGGTGAACCTAGGTATACAGGTATTGCCGTTATCCTCTTTCCTCTCTCTCTCTCTCTGTCTGTCTCTCTTTGTCTCTTTCTCTCGCTCTCATGCTCCCGCATGATCTTCGTTTCCCTCACAGTCTCCCGCCGTATCATGCTTTATCTCGGACGCTTTACCCCTCCTATCCCTCCCCACGAGCGCATGCTGCCTCCGATGCAGGTACAGCTTCGCTTCCCAAAGATCAGGAGACGCTGGGAGTGGGAGGATGGAGTTGGGGTGAAAAGGGTCTGGGAGGTGCAGATGCCGTGGAAGTTGAACGCGCGGGGAAAATAGAATTTGTGGGTGTAATAGGGTCGCACAGGGAAGGGGGGCTATGACGCACAAGACGCTGAACCGTGTTCGACTGTGCTTGAGACAGCGACGTATTCGTGCCGTGTCGACCAAGCGGCGACCCCAGCGTGGGCGTTCAGTGCTGAGCCCCGCCAGTGCCTGGAATCGGCCGACGTCGAATGATCCGCGCCACCGGAAAGTCGGGCTGGCTCGAGGCTGAACGATCCGCGCGGAGTCATCAGCACGCAGGTCTTCGTCGCCACGGCTGGACGCGGCTGTGGAAGCCTGCCAGGACGAAACCCTGGGAGGGGCTTCGTGGGCCAGTCTGGATGAGATTTGTCGCGGGAGGGGTGAGGGGGGTGGCCTCGTGAGAGGGCAGGGTGCTCTTCAGAGGAGACCGGATGCTTCCGTGAGGGCTTATCCTGGAGGAGGGGGGAGCTTGAGAACCCATCCGCGGAGTGCATTCACATGGGCCGCGCTGGGTCCTGTGTGGACCCCTACCTCTTCACGAAGCAACCACGGCACAACACCGCACGCGACCGCCTTTTATCCACCGTTTTGCCGATCGGCGCGGGCCCTCGCACACCCTACTCCCCCCCCCCAATGGATTAGATCTTGGCTGTTTGTTGGCGCCCGTTTCGAGCAGGTGGAGCCTCTCCCAGAGGCAGCACTCTTGCAGACAGTCGCACTGAGCAGAAGTCTGGAGCCAGCCCCCCCCCCTCCCCCCCCCCCCTTCCGCCCAATGTCGAAACGCCGAATAGAAAAACGCTCACCACCCACAGGGGTGAGTAGGAGGGACACCACACTCACGCACACACTTTGGAGCGTCGCGGGCGGGGCGAGAAAGCCACTCGGCCGATCGGTAGTGACGGCCCCGGCTGGGGCAAGCTAAAGCCGGGCGAGAGCAAGGGGACCCACACGAGGCAGCACAGGCAAAGAGCCGGCCAGAATTAGGACGACAAGGGGCCAGCGAGACAAGGACAATGGGGGCCAAGCAGAGCGAAAAGGGAGGCAAGTGGCGAGGAACGACAGCAAACCGCCGAGGGAGACAGACGGACTGACGCGAGGTACAACGGGCCGACCGACGGAGACGGGGGGCCGCGGGGACGAGATGAGGCACCACACTGACAAGGGCACGGACAGACACGAGGAGAGAAAGGAGGAGCCAGCCGAGGACAGAGGCGGAGAAGAGGATGAAAACACACAACACACAAAGGCAGGATTGGAGGAAGGGGGGGCAACACCGGGCGGCCAGAAGCGCGCGCCTGGCGGGCATGTTATTTTGGCGGTCTTCGGCGCCGCCCTGACGGGCAGCGAACTGAGACAGGTCAGTATCGTTTCACCGAACCCCATCCCCATCCCCATCCCCATCCAGACCCCCACCATCTCATCCCCCCTGTTGGGGATGTACCCTTCGAAATCTGACAGAAACTGCCTATATCCCCATCTAGGGGGGTAAACCGGCCAGTGGGGCCCAGGCCACGCGAGTGGGGATAGGGATCGGTTAAACGATGTTCAACAGGCGGAGCGCCTTCAGCAGTGCAAGGCATGAGTCGGAGTCCCCCGAGCCCCCAAGTCCTGGGGAGCAGCACGGCTTGATGGGAGACAGACGGCGTTTCAAACGCGTCGTTTGGAGGGGGAAGTGCAGCCAGGGGAGAAGTGGGCGACACGACCGACGGGAGAAGGACGAGGAGGACAAGAGGGAGGACGCAGACCCACAATCCTTAACAGACGGCGGTCAGCATGGACACGCGATTGAAAGCCCTGACGTGCAAGTCATAAACCCTGCGGGCGTGGAGGCAGTCCCCGTGGCCCCAAAGCATGGGCAGACAGATGTGCCACCTTGACCGGCGGCAAATGATGGTCGGATGCACCACCTGCAGTGCAAGACATGAGTCCTGCAGGCGTGGGGGGAGTTCCAGAAGCCCCGCCTTGCCGACAGAAACAATGTGGCGTTTCAAACGCGTCGTCTGGAGGGGGAAGAGCAGCCGGGGGAGAAAGGGACGACACAACCGACGGGAGAAGGACGAGGAGGACAAGAGGGAGGAGGATGCAGACCCACAATCAGAACAGACGGCGGCCAGCATCGAAAGTCCTGACGTGCAAGACTCACGCACACACACACACACTCACACATACATGCACGCAAGCACGCACGCCCCATCGCCACCACCACACCACACCACACCACAAGGAGGGACCCATCAGGAGGGAAAAACACAGACACTAATTTATCGTCGATTCCCATGAAAATGTGGAACATCTGGAAAGTGGGAGGGGAAGACAAACATCCAGAAAGTATTGAAAATGTGGGTAGTCCTGGGATTTGGTGACTATCGATGCTCGTGGGAGGCTTCCGCCCGTCTTCGGGACGGTGCGGGGCCGTCTGCGGCCGCCTCCTATCCGTCCTCCGCTCTTGATTCTGGGGGGAAGAGGAGGCCGCGAGCGCTCCTGGATCCACTCGGCACCGCGTGTTTGGCGTCCTTTCTGAGAACGCTCCTGGGGCCAGGCGGGAGGGGCTCACGCGCGCGGGCGGGTGCAGGCAGGGCAGCGGGGACCGTTGAAACGCTCCAGAGCCAGGGGGGCGCAGAGACAGCCGTGCTTCGTGCGCCGTAGCCTGGGCCAGGGCCCTTCTCCTAACACACATCTGATGGTACGGCTAGGAACCCGCGGGTCAGCGAGGAGCTAGACACACGCACACCTAGACACACGCACATGCACACCTAGACACACGCACACGCACACGCACACGCACACACACACATGCACACACACACACACGCACGCACGCACGCACGCACGCACGCACGCACGCACGCACGCACGCACACACAGAGACACACACGCACACACACACACACACAAACACACGCAGAACAAACATATTAGCGTGCACGCAAGTGGATTTTTCATACACAACGGGCAGATGACACACAGAGCAAGCCGTGGGGGGTTGGCGCGAGGTCGCGAAGACCAACGGCGCATCCCGGGGCGCGATGGGCGAAGTCAGGCGACCTCGGAGAAAGAAGACAGCACGGCAGCACTGGAGGCATGCTGGGGCTCCGCGGCGCGCCGTGGGGGCACGTGTGCGGTTGACGGCCCGCCCGTTCTGGGCAGAGGGGTGCGCGCCTGGGCCTGGGGCGCGGGGTCCCTGAACGTTAGCCTGCCCGACCCGACGGCGAGGAGCAGTGGGACTTCACGAAGGCCGTCGACCCGGACATGCAGACGTTCACGGTCTGTTTGGAGGTGGGGCCGTCTCGCCGACAGCGCGGTGCCCGTCCTCTTGGAGACGCCCCGTCTTCCTCATCGGCCCCCTCGGGCGCCTCGGTAGGTTGTTGAGGACGCCTGCGGCGAACCACCACCGCCGCCTGCAAGTAGTCTGGCCAAGCTATCGGACTATGTGTTCCAGCAGCCGTTGTGGAGACCTTTTGGGGAGCACTTGGGGGAGGAAGAGAAAGAGAGATGGAGAGAGAAAGAGAGAGAGAGAGAGCAAGAAACGAACGAGGGAAAGAGGATGATTAGGAGGAGGAGGAGGCCGAAGAGGATGAGGAGGAGAGGGATGATTATGAGGAGGAGGAAGACGAGGATGAGGAGGCCTTGGAGTCTGCAGCGACAGTGCGGATGAGGATGGCGAGGATGCCCAGGCTCAGGGCTGCTCCTTCGGCACTGATCCCCCATGGAACCTGGAATCGTCGCCCCCTTCTCCTCTCGATCCCTTCCCCTCCTCCTCCTCCTCCTCCTCCTCCTCCTCCTCCTCCTCCTCCTGCCCTCCCTCTTTTCTCATCCTGCTCATCCATCTTGCTGTTCCTGCGCCTACTGCCCCCCCACCTGCTGCGCCTCCTACGTCCAGAGCTTCTGCTCCTGCTCCCACTGGTCCTTCTGCCGTTCTGTCTGGTGTCAATCCACCCGAGGAGGAGGATCAGCGGAAGCAGGAGAAGGGAAGAGGAGGAGGAGTAAGGAGAGAGGCTGGGTGATGGAGGAGGAGGGAAGAAAGCAAGAAGGAGGAGGGATGGATGGACGAAATTGCCTGCGGTGCGCAGGTGAACCTGGCCGACGGCAGCTAGGGGCCGCCAGCGGGCCGGGTGACTGCCCACCCGCGCGTTGCACAGCCAGGTGCGGCAGGTGCGGGAGTTCGTGGCCAGGCTCAGCCAGGAGGAGGGTTCCAGGGTGTCGACAACGAGCTCCGACTGCCCGGGCGGGAAGCCAGAACAGATAAGGATCAGCCGAGGAGCCAGCTAGGCTTGCCTCTGCTCACAGAGAGAGGGAAGGGACGATGTGACCCGCCCCCTATCACCTCCCCGTTGGGCCCCCTCCCTTGCAACAGTTACCAGCTCGGCCAGGAGACTCTGAGGATGGGGGCGGCCCAGGGTGGGGTTGGAGGAGGAGGAGGAGGGGGCATATTTTTATCGAAGACGCCTATGGTGAATTGCCGCCGCCCCCTGCCTTGTTGGAAGCGCCTCTGTGGCCGAACGTTGTGGCCAGAGCTCGGCCAAGCTATCGGACTACGTGTTCCCCCTGCCGTTGTGGAAACCCTTCGGGGAGCAAGTGGGGGAGAAAGAAGCAGAGGAGGAGAGAGAAAGAGAGAGAGAGAAGAGAGGAGGAGCCTCTTGGGGCACTCTTGTGGGTGGGGGCCTCTTTGAGGCATCTCAGGGGGCCTCCTTGAGCCTCTTGGGGGACTTTGGGGGCTTCTTGGGGCTTGCCGTCTTAAGGCTATCCTGGACCTTCTGACGTCATCGGAAGACGTCTCGGCGGCCACTCTGGGCCAACTTGAAGCCTTGTTGGCGCGCTTCAGGGCTGTCTTGGAGGCCAGCTTGGGCGCATTGGAAGCCTCCTGGGTCGTCTTGGGGCCCTCTTGGGGCCATTTGGCGGGCCTCGTTGGCCGTCATGGGGCCTCCTTGGAGACCTCCTGGGCGATCTTGGGGCGATGTTGGTGGTCTCTGGGGCCGTCATAAGCCGAAAAAGTGGCAAAACATAAATCCGCCGAGCCCACAGAAAAGTATGTGATTTTGGCCTCGTGGGGGCCTTCCTGGAGGACCACCTGTGGGCTCTTGGGCCGTCTTTAGGGCCTGTTGGTCTGTCTTGGACCACTGTGAGGCCATCTTAGGCCGTCTTTGGCGCATCTTGGGTCGTCTTGGAAGCATCTTGCACTCTAAAGCGAGCTGGGGGGCGTAAGGATTGGAAGCGAACGTGCGCCCGCGGCCGCCTTGGCTCAAGCGGCCGGCCGCCTAGATTTGACTGTGCCTCACCGCGAGGCACACAATTGCTATCGAGACTAAAAGGTATCCCTTCTTACTTGAGATGGCATCTCCTCTTACATTGAGACTATCGCTACTACGATACAACAGAGCGGGAGCTTGGCTTCGCCTGGGGCGAAGCTGTTGGCTGGGCCTTCCAGCCCCCTTTCAAACTTGGTAGCGGAGCTGGCCTATGGTGGTCAGCTCTTGCTCTACTCCTCACCATCCACGGCACTTTCTGGTGGACTGCAGATACGGTGGAACATCAGGGTGCAGTGGCATTGCGCGGAGGAATGTACATAGCTACGCAACACCGCAAGGAAGCTTGCAGCGACACCTCTGCTCCAGTGGAGGTCTCTTACTCATACCCTACATCCCTGCACTACCACACTCCTGAAGTCCACCCACCTACTCCAAGTGGAAATTTCTTCGAAGACATAATGCATGGATACATGCGATAACACTGCCGCCTCCGACCCCACGCAGACTTACGACGACAAAGTACGAGTCTCCACCGACTACACCCGACTACGACCTACGAGGCCATTGGATTGGGGTTACTATATTTGGGCTCATACGGGTCGTTCTTGGATGTGCGGTGGGACATCTGCGGGGCGGAGGCGACACTCGGACGACTGGCCCCCAGTGGGAGCCAGCCGGCCAGGTACCATTTCGCGAGCGTGTCCGCGAGGTGCACGCCTGGACCAATGTGGCCACAGGCAACGTGACGCCCTTCCAGCAGGCCGCCGCACTACAGCGCGGTCTTGGAGGGCTCGCGCGGACCATAGCCATGAGAGTTCCCCCAGCAGTCATCAATTTTGGTGTCACTAAAGGTGGTCGCCACAGCCACGGCGTCACCTACACTATGTTCCTCTTAAGTACGAAGTTCGAGAACCACGCCAGCTTAACTCTGGCACGGCTCTCATCGAGTTTCGTGTCCACGCGGGAGAACGAATCGACCAGACGTTAGCACGATTCGAGGTAGCCCGCTACGAAGCCGAAGCCGCCAGCTTCAACATCCCCAACTTCCAGATATAAACAGTAATATTATTCAGAACTCTGGGAGTGGGGACGTCGCGGGCACAGTAGCTCTTGCAGCCTCCTGAACCAGCGCATGCCGAGGGACCAAGCACAATGTGACACTCTACTTTAACGTATGAGGTGCTATGCACATAGCTGAGAGGACCCCGCGCAATGTCGGCGGTATTTTTAGTCACGGTCACCGAACCGAGACCTTCCATACAGGCCAGCGCAGGGCAACCTGCTAACAACGTCTGGAACGATGATATACCACCGACTGAGACCACTACACTGTTGGCTCCAAATGGCGGAGGGGCCTCGGGGTCGCAAGACCCCCGGGCCAGATCTAGGGGACCGCTCGATGCGGTCTCCCCTGTACAAGCTATGTCCCTAATGGGCTCTGAGGGGCAACCCGCCGAGTCCGACTTCGACTCGCACCGACGTCGATACGTCTTCTGATGATGAAGCTACCGCTTTGGACTATGCTGATATGCCTACATACCTCACCGAAGAGCAGCAAGCTCAGTGGCTATTTTAGGGCTATCAAAAATCACGAGCGCCGTTGGCGGAGATTCACGAATAAACCAGTCAGAAGGGTAAGACGTATGGCACGGCGGACACTTAAAGGACAAGGCAAGGGTCGAAGTAAAGGCAAAGGTAAGCGTCGGCGACTACACGGTAGAGGCGTACTAACATTCCTAGCGTCTCGCACTGGGCCCCAGCATGAAGAAATGTTTACCGTAGGCAAACAATCAAGTACAGGTAAAGGACGAGGAAATCCAAACTATGCCAACGGTAAAACCACGGAGTGCGACATATGCCACAGCGCGCAACATTTCCGACGCGAGTGCCCCCAAGGTGATGGAAGAGGCAGGGGTCCGTCAACACATTTGACTCAAACGGATTCCGACATGCAGCGTGTGGACTGGGGGTCAATACTGGCCGACTCCGCCGACGGCTCAGCCACAGTCATTCACGTCATGGCTGCCAGGTATCTAAGTGCCAGTATGACCTTCGAGAATTTCGCCGACGAGCTGTTCGAGGAGGTGTTCGCTGGCCACGGCGACATCGATTTGGCAGAGTGGCTGGGTGCACCCATCGCGGGGCAACCTGCAGATATTGAGTTTGTCGAGAATTTCCATATGCCCGTCGAAGGTGATTTTGGCATGGCGGGGACACCCGCGGACTCAGATTCTACCACTCCTGCAACAGATGAAGATGCACATGCAATTCTCTATCCTGAGGTGATTGGAAGTCCGACAAACACGGAATCGATCGATGATGACCCACTGCGGGGAAACCCGCGCGACGCTGGCGACCTATCTGAACGTATTCAATATGAGCTTGGGCATAATGAAGAATTTCAGCACACTTCCGTTGCGTCAGATCGGTCCGCGAGCAGTCCGGGGCGAGCGCGAGGCCGCCTACCCTCGATAAGGAAGAAGAAATACCATGACGATCCAAGTCTTTCGCCAATGGGCGACGAGGACGAACAGGGAGATGATGACCGTATGATGCGTCGCGGTCGAGCTCCTAGTCCCTCACTCCCTCACCAGACCGGGTGCGAGCCCGCCCCAGCGGCGCTCGCCAGCCCCCCCCCCCTGGAAAGGGAGGGGGGCAGCTTCCCGAGCGCGAAAGGCGGGGAGGGGGGGGGCTTTCAAGGGGCCGGGGAAAATAGGGGGGGCGGGGGGCGGGGGGGGCTTCGGGCAGGGGAGGTCCAGGAGAGGGGGGCAGCTAAGGGGGGGCCCCTTGTGGGAGTGTTCCACGGGCGCGCACTCTCGGATCTTGGCTGCGTATAGCACAAGCTGGCACTGCCTAGAGCAGCGTGCCATGGCGTAGACGAGCGTACCTCAGCGTAGCTTAGCTCACCTTAGTTTAGGCAGGAGTGGCGCGGTTTAGCTTTGTTGAGCTGCGTTTAGCGCATTCTAACGCGGCTTGGCATTGTTTTTGATTTGTTGGTCCTATGCATCGGCCTACTCGGGACCCTCTTGGGGCCCATTGGCGGCAGATTGAAGCCTCCTTTGGGCTCTCCACAGCCCTGTGGGGAACCTTTCGGGACCTCATTTGTTTTCTCTTCCGAGGGCTTAGCAAATCAAAGGGGGGGGGCGTAGATGCGAGGGTACGGAGTTGGGTGGCCGAGGTTCCTTCGTCTCACTACGTCGATGTTCCGTTGCCCGCTATATTACTCTCGTTCATCGTTTGTTTCTTCCACGGTGCGCGGGGTCTCGGGCGGATCTTGAGCCGCACCAAGCGTTGTTCCAACAGCTATCCCTTATGCCTTTCTTTATCTTTCGTTAAACCCCTTTTTTCCCCCCGCGTCTTTCGTATTGTTCGTTTCCCCTAGCTATGCCACGTGTCGTTCGAAGCGTAGCTTCTTTTCGTTATCGTTTCCTCTCTCTCTCTCTCTCGTCCGTGGTCACACTCGTCGTCATGCCCATTCGCCCGTCCTCTTGCGGCCTTCAATCCTTCAGTTGTCTCTTGAGCCCACCTCAGCTGGTCCTTGCCTTTTCGAAAAGTAGATCGTAAGTAGGGTAGCTGCCACATGCGCGCCATAACTGGGGGCACAAAACGAGAGGAGTATGATTTCCCCTGTTATGCGGAAGGAAGTGAGGGAGTGGGGAGAGGGGATGGCGCGGAGGTAGGAAAGAGAGGGAAGAGGAAGGCGACACATGCAGCAGGTGTGGCAAATGTTTCTGTCGTCTTGTCCTGGCCGTCTCCATCTGCGCGTGGACTGCCAATCTGCCACGCTGGCGAGGCCGTCTGGGCCTCCCTTGCAGCACCAGGGTCGCCTTGCCCAGACGGCCCCCCCA